ATACATAACCATACCCCTACCTACATACCCAAACACTTTCATATACATACTTACATACAAATACCTACATACATTTCTGGACATTTATGGTTTGATTTCTTTGTATGTATGGATCACTTGGGTTGTTACCGACATCTGGTGAAAATTTCATGTCATTAGCACCTCTAGTAATATATTTACTGAGAAAAATGGTGACGTGTTCAATACTTATTTTACCTGCTGTATATGCAAAAATATAAGCTTGAATACAATAACTTGAACTTACTTTCTGTCTAATGGTGTTTTATTCACACACACACAGGCTCCTCAGCCGAAACTTTCTGACTGCCTATTATCATATTTGGCCGTAGTCAGGTGCCTAGCCTTAGTTAGCGTAACAGTAGTCATGTCAGACAGGCATCACGGTTCCTACAGTTTAAAGCAAGTTCAATTTAAGACTTTTTAAGACTTTTTAATGCCAACTGAAATTAAATTTAAGACCAATTTCACAATAAACACAAAAATGACAATAAATAAATAAATAAAACTGTAGCAGAAACTCATGAATCAAAGTATTTTTAGTTGAAGTATTCAAATATTGATAATAGACCAATTGTTTTTATCCCGATCTAACTGCCTTTTCATCAAATATAGCAAAAACATTCTTAGCAGTAAGTTTAATGACCAAAAATTTGGTGTTTTAGGACCCACAGTGGGGTTTTAACCCCAATTTGCTGTAGATGAAACCTTAAGTGACATCAAAATTTGTAAGAACAGTTAATGCATTTTTGAAATGACAACATTATTAACATATTACAAAACAAATTTCACATTGCTCAGATAGAGAGTTGTTGAGATATGTAACAGGAAATGACGTCAAAGGAGAATGTCTGCATGTAAATATTTAAAAAAATAAATGTTAACGATTATTTTAATATTTGAGAGGCTTCTGGAAGATTGATTTAAGACATTTTAAGGCATTTTAAGGCCTTATTTATGGATTGATGAATTCAAGGCCTTTTAAGACTTTTTAAGGATCTGCAGGAACCCAGGGCGTTAGCTGTGACACATCCGACACAAAAAGTCCAGATGGGTTCACCTACCTTGGAAGGAACACAGGCTTCTGAGTGAGGTGCTCCCTTAACTCAGGACTGGTGGAATCTGGGTTTAAGTAGCGGCCAACATAATCCGACCAACGCTGCAAACACAAAACAAGCACAAAAGTACATTTAAATCACAGATGAGCAGCAAAAAATACAACTAGTGTACCAGTATTACCAAAAGGCTGGTAACAGATCCTTACTAGTATTTCCACTCCAGCTGGAAGAGTGGACCTTCTTACTGTACAAAATGTAAAAAGAATGTCACTTTGCTGATTATAAATGCCCCCAAATACAATAAACATATGGAAAAAGATGTCTAAGTCCTCCTGTGAACTCAGCTTATAACATGTCAACAAACAAGGTGGGCTTTAAGACATCTGAAAAGCACAAATGCACCTTTAACTAATCTTAACACATATTTGTTAATTTGACTAAATATTTGTATGAGTTTGATATATTTTCATTTTTTAATCTTTAATCAAAATGTGTTTGAGTATTGTAGAGCCTCTGTATAAATCATTTATTTACTTTGTCACCAACTGAAACCTGGAGCTGACCTGCAGCAGGAGACCAGCTGCTTACCTCCGCCTCCATGGGCTCGTCTGAGTTCTCTCCCTCTGTGTCGAGCAGCTCCACCGTCAGCTGCACCTGCGCTCTGTTCCTCAGGAACAACACCTGAGCACGGGAGGAGAAGGGAGTCAACATGCTGTACACAACATCACCTAAAGACTAACACAACTAGGAAGTTGCCAAAGCATGTTAGGCCACCTTCAGGCCCAGGCCTCTTGCCTTATTAAATAAAGGTTAGTAGTTCTTAAAAGAAGCCAGGATACAGTTGTTTCAATCAGAGACTCTTAACCCATGGGCCGTGAGCGCCACCTAGAGGGCCTCAAAAGAACAAAAATTTTTAACTTTGGGCCTCAGAGGGCCGTGGGACCACATTGATTTTGAACAAGGTGCAATACACTTTGTCACCACTAGTAGCAGTAGTGCACCACTCAGATGTTTAACAACTTTATTAATCTGTAGAAGAAGAAACTTAGAAACCTGCTGAGAATGGAAACTTATTTTAAATGAAAAGTAGAAGCAAAAATGAAAGTAACTCATCAAAAAACACCAAAGTTTGTCACTAATATGAAGAGCAACTTCTGTTTTTATCATGTAATATTTTAAAAGTTCAAAACATCAAATACAGTTAAAATACAGCTATATTTTAATTTGCACTTTATTAAATTATTTTTTTGTAGTTTATTTATAAATATTTTAATGTATTTTAAAGAAACTTTAAACTTGTCAAAAAGCTGTTGTTACTGTTGTTTGTCACTAATATGAAGAGCAGCTTCTGGTTGCAAAAGTTTAAAAAGGCTTTATTTTCATTTGTACTTTATCAAATTTATTTTTATGTTTTTTTTGTATTTGAAACATTTACATTAAACATTTATAATTTATTTATTGTATGCCCACAAATTTATTTTTTGAATTGTCTATTTTTGTTATTGTTTATGTTAAAAATATGTTTGTGTTGATAAGCCTGAGTGGTCTGTTGACTGACCTTTGTATTTGTTCAAATAATTATTATGGGCAGGTTACAATATAAAAATGTTTGTTATAATCATGTCTTGTGATTATTTGACAGGAGTTTTACTTTTAAACTGTAAGTGTATTTAATTTAGTTATGTTAGTTATGATAGTTTAGTTATGATGTAAATACAATAAAAATTAAACCAAGATTTATAATAATTATCATTTTGATCCATACATTAGTAATGTCTGACTGGGCCTCGTGGTCAAAAAGGTTAAGAATGTTTTGTACAGTAAAATACTCCCAAGCAGAGCTGGATTAAAACAAAAAACGACGGTGAAGATGGAAAGAAGCTCCGTGCTGACATTTCACTGACGGCTGAACCAAACAGCCACTCCTTCAGCTCAGTGAAAGGGGAGTTTGAAGCTCTTTTTACCTTGAAGCAGTTCTCATCAGACATGAGCTGCTCAGCTTTCCGCTGGTAGATTCCTTCTAAGGAGCTCCTTGAAGCCTGTGTGGACACAGATCCCCCGGTGGCTCCATTTGTGCTCTCCGACAGGTAAAGTTCTGTCACCCGGACGCAGATCTCATCGCTCACTATGTGCTGGAGCTGGGAGGGAGGAGAGACGGTGTCAGACACTGACTAATAAACTGCTGTAACTATACATGTAGAAGAGGAGAATACCTGCCGGACAATGCTTTGGATGAGCTTGTCCATGGTGAAGGCAATGTAAGCGTGGATGGTGAACATCTCCCTCAGAGAGTCCTCATACTGAGAAGCTTCCATGTTTCCATCCAGTAAATTCCTCACCATTTCCAAGAAGGCTGAGTAGTAATCTTCCACTTCAATGTCCACTAGAGAGCAGAAACCAGGAATTAAAGGCCTGCAGTTCCTAAAAGGAATACATGTGGCATGCTGATTTCTAGGCTAGAGTTTTAGACTGAGATCATCTTGCGTTGAGAAATGATGGAGTAGTAGTCTTAGTCAAACCATTGACAATAAAGCTATTAGGGATGGGTAGCAAATTCTATACTTAACTAGACATGGGTTTTTATGATGTAAAAACAAGTGTGCATTGCCACGTAGCATGTCACTGCAGCATGGCTTTGCCTGCAGCAGTGCACTTGCAGAATGAACTGTGACCAAGTTCAAACGTATTTTCTATACCAGCTTGTGCCTGTCACATCAGCAGGTGTTTAGAATTAAGGTAATTGTGTGACAATATGAAGTTTGAAGAGATTTTTTCTTAAAGTTGCAGTAGCTGGGTTTTGAACCCTGATCTCCCACTTGAAAGTCCATGACATAGACCATCAGACCAATGGAGTTGTGGCAGAAGGTGGTGGCAGGGGTTGGTTTGTATGTGTGCAGAAAGAGGCCACATCGCCAATACAATTATTGACACTTAAGTGCAATATATTACAGCAATATGACAACATAAAGACAGTATTACAGTAAAACATCAAAATACAATCATATTAATATTGTAATCACTGAACTACTGAGTTTAAATATTATGAAACTATGGTGCAGTACCATATTGTGTAGAGGCAGCAGGGGGCAGTATTGGACCAATACAAGGCTCCATTGACTGCCATTATAATTTATTAAACATTAATATTTCAAAAACAATAAGTTTTACAGGCACCAAAAGGCATAACCATCATTTGGCACAGGAGCTTTACAGATATAAATTACAATGGCAGCTCTAGGACAAAGTATGCAGGAGGAGAAGCATGACAAAGTTGAGATGACTTGGATGGGAAACGAATCACAATAGTGTTATAAATTACTGACCGAATTCTGTCAGTACTACTGAGAACCTGTTCACAGAACAAACGGTACCATGTTTCAGTACCTAAATGCATCATTGTGACCGTACTGGTGTAAAGCCGGGTTCCCAACAAAAGTGTTTTGAGCAGCTAAAGCAGCCAGTTTACATGCAAAGTCTATGGTGGACGTGCATCTAGGAGCAGTGCAGCGTGTTGCAGCGCGTTTTGGCAGTTCAGAGCAGCGTGCAAGGTAGCGGTAGGATGCAGCAGAGCATTTTGCGTGCATGCGGCGCGTCCAGAGCAGCGGCTGCTGGTGTTCAACAAATTGAACTTTTGCTGCTCGACGTGCAGCAGCAGCCAATCAGAGAGAATCATTTTTCCACGTGACGGTTTCCTGAACCCGACACAGACAGACGGGAGCCTTCAGCTGAAATAGACCATCTGCAGTTGGTGTTCTGGCTGGAGTTATCAGCACCGACGTGATGAGACAGCAGCTCGCTGAGCTCAGGACAAAAATAAAGTCCCTCAGCTCACTGGAGTGGCGAAACTAAACTGCCTCTAAATTATCTGGTGAATTTATTATCTGCTGTGCGCAATGTTCGCTTGCTCTTTAGTAAATATACAAAGTCATTTTATTTATTTTATCTTTATTTCACCTGTCATTAAAGACAGTCTGGCCCCGGTCTGGGGGGAAAAAAAGTCAGACAGAGTGCCTCTAATATCTGGTGAATTAATTATCTGCTGTGCGCAACATTCGCTTGCTCTTTAGTAAATAAGGCAAAGCTATTTTATTTATTTGATCTTATTTCAAACGTCAACCGACCGGACAAAGACGCTCCTCCCATTGCACGTCTTTAGACGTGTTCGATGTGAACGGACAGCTGTTGACAAGCAGCTAAACGCATGCAGCAGGAGCATTTTGGCCGCTCAAAACGCGTTTGGTGGAGACCCGGCTTAAGAGTGGTGAGTTTTCCATGCTTGTCCTGAACGCAGCATCGCGCAAAAGCGTAATGACGTCAGCAGCTGCTGCTTCAGTAAACAGAGCTCTGTCAGAACGTAGCTGAAAGCCTCGCAGCTCCTGGAGTAAAATTTACCAAACAGACCACCTCTGAATTATCTGCTGGATTAATTATCCTGTGAACACAACATTCACTTGCTCATAGTAAATAAAGTAGCACCACTTTCTTTATTTCATCCAGCATTAAACAGAGAGCAGCAGAGAAAAACAACAGAGGAGCTTCAGACACACGTCTGACCTAAAGAGCACAAGCAGACAACAAGTGTTGGACGTGTTCTGGATGTTCAAAACGTACCTTAAATACCTTTCATTTATTTTAACTGCATCCTCTTTTCTTTATTTGATTTAAACTTATTTACCTTCCATGGACCTCCATCACACATGTTTCTAGTGGGGAAATGACATCAATAGAAACACGTGGAGCTGGATTTTAATTTGTGTAATAAGACAACACTGCGTTAATTGTTTTCAAGTGTTTTCACTTTAAGTTTGTTAAACAACTGATGTTACAATACAAAGAGTTGGATGTTGTTTTGATATTTGTTAATTTTATATATTGAGAAGAGAAATATGTAAAATGAAAAAAGTTTATTATTAAAAAAACAACACACACGAAGTACCCAAAATTGGTACCATTAAGTACCGGTAAAGATTCTCAGGTACCGGATATTGGTACCCAATCAATTCAAATGTCAAAGGTGCCCATCCTTAAATACTATGTCTTGCTCAGAGTATGTGTCGTGATGGAGTCTCAGCTATAAAAATACCTGTAAATATGACAGAATTTGTATGTCCTTTTTGTATTTTGTATGATCTGTTTGCTGTGGCGGCCATCTTGAACCAGGATGGAATAAAGGATAATCAGTTGTATATACACATCCACTTATTTCCTCAGGTTAACGGTTAACTAAAATTTGCCCTTTGGTTCTTAATATTTTGCTAACAGAGGTCGTATTCACACCTGATAGTCTGGTAGACTCGGCTCGATTGGGGACCAAAACTGCAAGCTTTGTTTACATTTTCTGTTGGTGCTGTTTGAGTTCACACTGCACTTTCTCAACCGAACTAAACCCTGTAAACAACCTGTTCCCACCCTCACCTGTGGGGGCGCTGCACCAAGAACCACTAAAGGAATCAACATGAAAACCTCAGAAGAAGACATGGAGCAAAACTTCCTTCTTCACAAAATGTAAACAAACAATAGTAAAGTTACATTTTAGTGGTTATAGGGTTTATTTTTTGTTTTTAAATGTGTTAAACAAACAGTCTTCAACAATGAGCTCAGCATGAGAGGAAGATGAGGCGGAACCACAGAACGTTGTTTTTACACAAGTCGGCTGAGGAAGCTCCATGTTAATCCAGCAGGACCACGTCCAGCTCCACAGTCATGATGTTCACCTTATACAGACGTCCAGTGAGGTTTTTATACCATATAAGTACATTTATTACTGTTAGTACTCAGAATGTCATGCAGGATAGTCTACTTCCTGCTTTTGGAGCGGTCTCTGGTCCGCTGAGCGTTCACATGTAATCGAACCGCACCAGAGTTCGTTTCAATCGAACTGAGACCTAGGTTTTCAGGCGGACCAGAGTTCGAATTTTTAGTCCGAATCAGAGTTCAATTTCGCGTTCACACCTCCACAAACGAACCGGACTTACCAGGCAAACGAACTAGAGTTCGATTAAATCGGACTAAACAGTGCAGGTGTGAACATGACCAGAGTTGACTACAGTAGTTGCAAAATTTTGACCAAATCTCTGGCACAATCTGTTAGCACTCAGAGTACGAGTTGGGGATCAGTCTCAGCTACTACCACAGCAGACTTTGGCTCAATATTGTTACAACTGTGAAGGCTAGTTTTGTGTTAATTTCCTGTAGCAGCCATCTTGATTTGGGTAAACCCCAGTAGTTAATATGCATTCAATGATGTCTTTCTGAGAGACTTATTTAAATCTGTTTAGTGCTTTATGATATAGTTTGCTAACAAACAGGCACACATATTAAACATCTTTCTGCACCAGGCAGGCCAAAAACATTATGCTCTGTATGAACTACAGCAGAGACCCTTAACCTATGGGCCGCGGCCCAATTGTGGGTCGCAAGCGCCACCTTGAGGGCCTCAAAAGAACAACAGTTTTTAACTTTGGGTCGCAGAGGGCCGTGGGACCACATTGAATTTGAATAAGGTGCAATACACTTTCTCACCACTAGTAGCAGTAGTGCACCACTCAGATGTTTAACAACTTTTT